AAAGCAACTGCAACAAGAACTAAAGCCCAAACAAACAACAATAACAAAAACAAGAGCAGGAACAAACACAAGAGCAAGAACAATAACCAGCACAAAAACAAGAACAAGAACACGAACAAGAGCGAGAGCAAGAACAAGAACAACACAAAAACAAGAACAAGTTCCGGCCTTGCATTGCAGTTGCATTTGTTCAAAGAGATGCTCACAAGATCAGGAACAAGTCCTGGCCCTGCATCGCACTGCAGTTGGCATGGTTTGCAGAGAGGTGCTCTCAGTCGTGTTTTCTGAGGGGCTCCAATGCCTTGAGTCACCAGTTGCCAGAAATCCTGCCTTGCGCTTGCGCTGGTTGACTGCCTTGGAACAGCCCACCAATTGCTGCAACAACGATGACAGCCATAGGCAAATCCCATACTCTGCCAGCCAACGTTCTGCCGCCCCAAGGCTTATCCATGACCAAGCCCCTTCTAGGCTGGGCCCACGCATTGCAAGGCTGATGATGGCTCATCCACCCCCAGACTTCCAAGCATCAGAGCCAGTGACTGTGCCCCAGCTGCTGCCAAGCAGCATCAGGCTGCTGCCTTGGGTTGGCCGGCCTGGTGGAGGGCTTTCTGGGCTGAAAGGAAAGCTGCTTTGTGCCATGCCCTCAGGAAGGCAAGTGGGTGCACCCTCCCACTCACACAGGCGTGCTTGCATCAGTCCAGCAGACTGTGAGTGTGAGTGGGCAAACTTTGCAAGTTTGTTTGGCTGCAGTCAGGGAGGATTGGGTGGGCTTAGCCACCTTGAAATAGAAGGCATTGGTTTACCAAGATGGCCTAGTTGAAGGGAGCCCATTGCATAGGCTGAGCCCATTGCATAGGCTGAGCCCATCAGCAGTGAGGGCACTGGCTTTGGAAAGGGCCTTGTCTTTGAAATGTTTGCAATGTTCAGCTGTGCCTGTGGTTCCATCAAAATGGAAACACCTCTTCCAGAGATGAGGACTTGCAAGATTAAAAGAATCATTCTTTGCCCTCTGCTTGTCCATGCCCTCAAGAACTTGACCAAGTTCAACTGGGACACTGCTGCCCCCACAACTGTCATAGCTGCTAGAGCAAAGCTTGAATCAATTCAAGACTTGGCAGCAGCATTGAGGAGTTGTCAGGAGTGGGGTGGCTTTAGGGCAGAGAGTGGCTGCAATTCCAATCTCTTTTGTCAGCACCTGCGCCTTTTTGCTGGCATTGTGGCATGACCCCTAGTGCTTATCTAGCTGCAGACTGGTCATTGCATTTGGCTTCGCCCCATGAAGCACAGTCAAGGTTTTTTCGCCCCCCCCGAGCGGGGCCGGGTGCATTCCCACAAAAGTTAAGTTGGTCGAACTAACAAAACAAGGAAAATCGTTTTTGTGGCTCGTTTCTGCAGAGCTCGGTTTCTCCAAGGACCCTGATACTTTCGGGCAGAAAGTTGGCCCAGAACTAGCTACCTCGCGGAGAATGATCACCTAGTGCGACGTCATACATTTTGGTGAGATCATGTCGGTCAGAAACAAACCGTCCAAGCCGGAAGGGGGGTCATCCGCGCCCACATTCTCGGGTCATCCGCGCCCACAGAATTGAGTCTTCCTTGATCACAGATTCTGGGTCATCCTCGCCCACACAATACTACGCCAGTACTCAAAGTGTGACACCGTTTTCTCCTGAGTCATCCTTGCCCACATTTTGCGGGTCATCTGCGCCCACATGCGTTTAAGCACAGTAGTAGCAGTCGTAGTCGTAGTCGTAGTCGTAGTGGTAGTAGTAGTAGTAGTAGTAGTAGTAGTAGTAGTAGTAGTAGTAGTAGTAGTAGTAGTAGTAGTAGTAGTGGTAGTAGAAGTACTCTTGCGACACATTTTATGCCCACCCGGTGAAGTGGACTCACACTAGCTCGGGGGGGGCCGGGGGGGATGGGTGGGGGGGGATGGTAAGCACACCCGCTCACGCGCTCAGCACTGTATCCATGCGTGCGACATCGTAAGCCCACCCGCTCAAGTGCACTCGCCCGGAAAGGAGGCGGGTGGGGGGGAAATCGTAGCACACCCGCTCAAGTGCACCCGCTCAGCCCTGTATCCACGCATGCGACATAGCAAGCCCAACACCCGCTCTTGCCCGGGGACGCGCTCAGCACTGTGCGCACACCCGCTCAAATGCGCGCGCTCAGTGACATTGGCTGACTCGGCCTTTGAAGCCACGTGAATAATGGCGAGCACTCCCTGAGTTGGATTTTCAACCTGGGACGATCATTTTAGTTTAGACGGAACTTCTCTAGTACTGCGCGAAGTGAAGGCTAGTTGTCGCTCTGCGCAAAGAACGATAGAAGCCAAACCATTGATGGCAATCAACGTCAGATGCGCCTGAAAGACGGAGAGAAGGAAAGGAAGCATGGAAGAAAAAGACCGATGGCAAAGAGAAAGAGAAGAGAGAGAGAGAGGGAGAGAGAGAGGGAGAGAGTCAGAGAGGGAGAGAGAGAGAGGGAAATTGGTAAGCGAGCAAAGAAAGAAAAACAACAGAAAAGAACGGAAAAGACAAGGACAAGAAATGAAAAGAAAAGAAAGAACAAAGGAAGGAAGGAAGGAAGGAAGGAAGGAAGGAAGGAAGGAAGGAAGGAAGGAAGGAAGGAAGGAAGGAAGGAAGGAAGGAAGGAAGGAAGGACGGAAGGAAATAACGAAATTTGAAAAATAAAGAAATAAGGATAGAAACGAGAGACAGGCATAAAGAAAGAAGCAGAGAGAAAACAAAAGAAAAGAAATATAGAAATACAGAAAGACACACAGACAGACAGACAGAACGAAAGAGAGAACAGACAAAAACAAGACAAGACACGGACAGAAATAATGGAGCAACGCTGGGATTCACGCAAAAGCGAGGGAATGGACATAAAGAAGAAAAAAGAGTTGAAAAGAAAGAAACGAACAGGAACGAAAGGAAGGAAGGCAGGCAGGAAGGAAGGAAGGCAGGCAGGAAGGAAGGAAGGAAGGAAAAAACAAGTAGAAAGAAAGAAAGAAAGAAAGAAAAGAGGAAAAGAAAGAAAATAAAGAAAAGAAAGAACAATAATAGAAAGAAAAGAGGCAAAGAAAGAAAAGAAAGAAAAGAAAGAAAACAATAATAGAAAGAAAAGAGGAAAAGAAAGAAAAGAAAGAAAAGAAAGAAAAGAAACTAAAGAAAATAAAGAACATAAAGAATAGAAAGAAAGAACGAAAGGCATAAAGATGGCACACAGCAAGAAGAGAAAAAGAGAAAAGGAAAGAACAAACACGGTAACTGTAGATTTTTTTCAATCAAACAACAAATAATATTTGTGTAACGTCCGTCCACCGGCTTCGCCGGCTCTACTAGTAAATGGCCTGTCGTCTTTTTTTTGGAACCCCCTCATTTTACATGACCCCACGTACTTTCTTGTTCTCCTTTAGTTTCTCTTTTCACCAACTCAACAATTGTGGCACCCTCATCTTTTTTTTAAAGACCCCTTTTCTTGTTCTACCCACCCAGTTGTGCCAGAAGTCCATGGAAAGTCAAGGAACAGAGGGAACAACTTCGTTTCTTGCCATCGGATTTTCTTGTCGGATCCATCGCGTCCGTTAGTTCCCTGTTGATCTCCGAGTTTTTTGGTCGAGGCTCAGGGTCCTCACCCAAACTCATCGGGCAGATTTGGCCAGCCGAATCTTCTCAGCCAAAGTCTTAGCTCTTTTGGGTTCCCCAATAGCCTGAAAACCCATTCCCCAAGCGAACCTCAAAAACATGTGTTTTTTCTCGAGCGCCGAGGTGGAGGTGGCTTATTTGCTGGCTCGGCTTGAGCAGCCTGACCCGCTGGAAGCTGAGCAGTTGAACGTGGACTGGGTGAACCCGAAGCGGCCACGGCTTGCCTAGCGGAAGGGCCCAGTGAAGGCACATGGGTCTGTCTGCGACCCATTCTTTCGGGCTGTGGGAAAGAATTGGAGCACCGTTTTTTCTAAAAGGAGATACACCCCAATCAAAACTGGGCGAGTTTTACCATTTGCCGAAGTTGTTGGTGGTGAGCCGGCGTTTCAGAAGGCGAGCAGCAGCTGGCCACATTTGATCTCAGCAGCCGCCATCGGCCAGGAACGTGGAGGGCGTTTGTTCGGAGAACCAAAATGCAACCGAAAGAAGTACCACTGCGAGTGGATTGGGGTGTCAATGGCGGAGAGCGTGCCGAGTTTCAGCTGATATGGATGGCTGGCACCTCCCGTGCACTTTTTCCTCAACCAAAGTGCCATCTCGGAACTGGGGCTCTTGAGCCTCCGTGATTGCTTCGCCGGGAAAACATGCGCGCTTTTTTGGGGCACGGTGGCCATATGGTTTTGTGTTTTAAAATAGGGGAAAGCCCATGTTTTTTTTCGGTTTTCCCTTTTACCCCCCACCCCAAAAGGGTACCCTTCAAGAAAGACAATGTGAGAATCTTGCCCAAGACAGGGTAGCACATTGGGATTCGCCTGTGCCCCAAGGTTTTTCAGCACTCCTGTCATGTGAAGTATGTACACTGCTTGCCCAAGCCTGTAGGTATTTGTGCTTTGCAACCGACCTGATTGATCTCTTGTGCGCAGCATTCCGTTCAGCGCGGGAGCTTTTTGCAGACAACTTCCATAGGCTACGGTGGTCTTTGTGTAAGGCCGTGGGTATTCCTTTTGCTTCAAGCCGACCCCATGCTTGAGGTTAGTTGCTGTGCAGCAAGTCCATGAAACTGACTCAGATTTCCAAAGAGCACGAGAGGCCTCACGCGCGAAATTGGGAATGGAGGCCTCTAATCCTCAAACACTTCCCTGGTCATGTGCGAGAGGCAAGCAAGCGGAACCACCACTTCAAGTCTGGGCAAGTGCTTGGTCAACGGCAAGAGCATCTAGAGCACTGGACCCCTACTGGGCATGACGACGAGAGACAAACAGACAGAACCCCATTTCAAGCTGTGGCTTAAGGTTAGCGACCCAAGGAACATGTGTCACACATGTCACACGTGCCGCGTCCCCCGGCGCCGAGGTTTCTGAAGTTTGGGGTGCAGTTTGGGCTTTGCGGGGACTGCCTCGCTGGCCCGGACTTTGAAGCCCGGCACGGAACACGAGCAAGCCATAGCCGGCTTAGCTGTCGCGTGTTTTGGGTGGGTGGGAGTGGGTGTCAGTGGGGTGGGTTGGCACGGGTTGCAAGGTCAAAGGTCTCCTACTAGCGTGTTTGGGATGTGCAACTTGTTTTTTGGGGGTTTTTAAGGCAATGCGAATGACGCAAAGTCTCAGAGTGACGTAGCTTTGACGGGCACTGGTGCTGGACAGCAGGCCTCGAAACGGGATGGGCCGATCACCACGCTCGAGGTTCCGAGAAGGCCAGGTGCCTTTCTGATTTGACGACGACCATTTTTCTCATGGCCAACATAGCATGGCGCCCCAAGGGAGACAAACTGAATGTAGATTCAGGTTAATTGCTTTGGAAAAAAGGTACGCGACACCTTGAGGGAAGACACCTGAATTTCCATCCCCACATTTAGGAGCCTCTATGCATACAGCTTCTTCTTGTGCCACATGCCGAATGAAATGCACCTTGGTTTTGGCCGCTCACCATTTGGGTAGGTGTCAAACCGATCTCGGCGCTGCAAATGAATTGTAATAGTTTCATGTACCTCAAATTTGGATACCCCCGGCTCCTTGGCTCCCTTCCAACCATCAGCCAGATAAACGGGGAAGCTTGGGAACCCATTACCTCTGGATGAGTGTCTAACCTTCGGCTCCCTTTAGTTTCTCTGAACACCCTCTCCGCGAAAATCCACCGGACCACGCCCCTTTCCTTGCCGAGGATGCGCGGCTCAAGCCGCGAGAGGCCATGGAGACCTTCTTCCTGGAGGGCGCTGTTGAGCGAGAAGCCAGGCGCGCGGGGTTTTGGGGTACCCGTTTGAGACTGGTTTTTCGGGGAACCCAGAAAGAACGCTGTTTTTGTTTTTTTGGGGGTCCAATCCCTATTTTCACACTTAATTACCCTGTTGAACAAGTCCAAAGTGATAGCATTCGCTGCCTTTCTTTAGTGCTTTGCAGCCGAAATTCATTCAAACCTTGAGGTCTTGGTGCTAGTGAGGCAAGGGGAAGCGATCCAAAGCCAACGCCTACCTCCAGCCAGCCCGCCGGACCCTGTCACATCCAGACCGCGGGCCCCCTTTGCCACACCCAGCCGCTCAATCTCCTACTGCCCGCCGCAGTAGGCCTTCAGAAGTGGACCGTATGTTTCCCACCTGCAGCTGCAAGATGCCGCTCAAGAAAGGATCGTGGGCCTTGCCACACGCCGCACAAAATGCGGTGCACATGATCGTCCCACCCTGTCTAGCCACGGTGCCTGGTTCTTTTACCCTCCCCAGATCCCAGAGCAAACCGCAGCGCAGCCAAACTTGTACAGCAACTCTTTAGCTGGGCTGACTTTGCCATCCACAGGATCAAAACCATTGGGATTTCGGCTCACGGCCAGCCCCTTCACACGATTCTGCAGCTTTCCGACGCATTTCTTCCAAGGGTTTTTCTTTGTCACAATATTGATGCGAGAGAGAGAGAGAGAGCGAGAGAGAGAGAGAGAAAGAGAGAGACGGAGAGAGAGAGAGAGAGAGAGAGAGAGAGAGAGAGAGAGAGAGAGAGAGAGAGAGAGAGAGAGAGAGAGAGAGAGAGAGAGAGAGAGAGAGAGAGAGAGAGAGAGGGAGAGAGAGAGAGAGAGAGAGAGAGAGAGAGAGAGACGGAGAGAGAGGGAGAAGCGGAGAGAGAGAGAGAGAGAGAGAGAGAGAGAGAGAGAGAGAGAGAGAGAGAGATAGAGAGAGAGAGAGAGAGAGAGAGAGGGAGAGAGAGAGAGAGAGGGAGAGAGAGAGAGATGGGGAGAGAGAGAGAGAGAGAGAGAGAGATGGAGAGAGCGAGAGAGAGGGGGGGAGGGCAGGAAGGCAGGCAGGCAAACAGCAGTGGCACACTGGTTGACCGCTTGGTCAACACCAGTGGCTTAGGACCCTTCCGGAGCTGCTCGCCCTGCTGGCGCGCGGCGCCGCCAGCGCCGGACCTGGACGCTTCAAGAGCGGGCGCCAGTGGCGCTGTGAGGAACGAGCCCATGGTCTCTGCACGTGGCTTGGGTGACAGTTGGCCGGCCAGTTTGTGCATGTAGCTCATCCCATTCAACAAGGGCGGAGTGACTGCCCAGAATTCCACGGAAGACTTGCTCCCTGTTTACTTGCAACTCGTTTCATGGCTGTGAGAGACTCGAGAAGGGGCACACTGGACTTAAAGGCACTGCAGGTTGCGACAGATGTGCGTCAACATGGGCCCTGAAAGCCTTGCATTGAGAACCCAAGAGAGCCCCCACCATCTACCTAAACCAGCGACAGCAGATTATATATACACATGTGTATATATAAATACGTATATATATATATATATGTATACGTATATCATATCCCAGAGGAGCAATACGGAGTTGGCATTTCACTGCTTGGGTGGGCGGCAGGGGCGGGGTGGTGGTGGTTCAAAAGTCGTCAAGCTTGTGCACACTCTTTTTTAAAATATAAAACAAACGAATAAGTTTCTGGGATTGGCCTTGAGCAATGATCGCCTTTGCTTGAACCACGTATCAGCTTTTGCATACCATGTGACAGCTCGTCGTTTTATGATCTTTGTCCGGTCCGTCCGTCGACAGACTCGAAAGAAGACCGCCATTTGGGGAAATCCTCCAGACTCGAGCCCCGAGTTGTTCTTGTCTCTCTTAGGTTTGGGTAGGAGAAAAACGGCCCCCAGACAACCCGTTTTAGATACCTGCAATACTTGCAGCTGCGAGGTTCCGAGTGCGGCGCTGCAAGGGCACGGCTGTGCCTTGGCAGATTTGCACGCCCGGGTCTTGTTTGATGGGTTGCGGCACATATTCCGGGCCCTTTCTGGGCTGGTTTGAAGGGAAATCAAGAGGAACACCACCGTTTTGGAGTCAAACCAATGACTCCCGTATGTTTCGTATGCAAATTCACCAGTGCCAAGTTCGCTTCCCTTGTTCCCGTCTCAAAGCCGGGACCCTCAAATTGGCTGGCAAAATGTCTCAGCTGTGGCAAGGTCCACTGAAAACGGCGGCGGAGAGGGGGTTTGGGGGGGGGGGGATGGAAACCTGATTGCAGTGTGTCAGATTCCAATGGTTGGGGTGCTACGCATAGTTTCCCCAGCTCCTTTGGCAGGTGCACACTACCACTATCCACCTGCTGGACCTGGTGGGTGCTGCGATGTCAGATCCAAAAGCTAAGAGGGGTGTGCAGCAGGAGAGGGGTGACTTGTGGGACATGTCGCTTGCCACGTCTCGAAACAAGCGGCCCTTGTCAGGCTGTTCTTCAAAAGGAGGCAACAGGAAATGAACTAGTATATCCTTTGCATATGGCTGGAATACGGGATTTCTCTTCGAGTGCGGTGTTTCCTGGCAGGCCACATCAGGTCGATCCAAAATTCCTTTGAACGGTGGCCAACGGATGTTTCCCAGCGGACCGCTTAAAACGGTCAGCCCTGTCGGTTTGCACCATCCACCAAGTCCTGCTTAGGAGCCACGGACATGCCATGAACACATATTTGATAGGAATTCGTTGGAATTGGCAGACCATTCCAACAGGTGTACTGAAGGCATTGTCAGCCTTGTCTTCCGAGCAGCACGGGCTGGGTCGACTTACTGATTGGCAAACTGATTGCATCTTGGGAGTATTTGGCCAATGGTGCAAGAGGAGGACAAGACGTTGAAGGCGGTTCTGCGAGTGGTCGACGCTCTGGCTGAGGGCCCTGAATATCAATTCAGCTACTTGGTGATAATTGAAGGCCCAAGAAACCAGGAACTTGCGTGGTGCAAGTGGGCACCCTTCACAGGCATGGTGTGAAGCCACTTTCAGTGGCCTCTCCAAGGGTTGGTGCAGTGACCAACCAGGTGGGCAATGGAAATCAATCGACCTGAAACCACTGGTGGAACACCTAAGAGCACTTCCAATCATTAAATGGAAGCAGCACACCTGGGGATGAGCCTTTTGAAGCTGTCGCTCCGCTTTGTGCAGCCACCAAGTGACTCTGCGCTTACTGACGGAAACTCAGCATAGCGTCTAAACCTCTAAAGTGGCCGGTCACGAGCACGACTAGGTAGACTGGCCGTTCAACGAAAACGCGATTCATAGGGTCGAGCGAGCTGGGTGGTATCAGGCGGCAGGGCTTTTTCCCCTCTCCTGGCAGGGCACGAGGTCACTGGACATGGCTGTGGTTGGTTTCGGGCATGGACATCAATCCCAGGGCGGTGCTTTACTTGGTTCAAGTCGCGTTTAGAACTGAAGGCTTAGAAATGTGTGGTTGAGACCGTAAAGAGTGGGCAACAAAAGCGACAGAGAAGGCAAGGAGCGGTGCAAGAACAACTCCATGAGATTCCAACATTTCCACCAATTCATGCAACACTAGGCTTAGCTGTTTGCCCAAAAACCTGGACATTAGAACAGGGGAGCGTCTTGTGCGAGGAGCTGCTGTTCCGATTCGTTTCTGCCCCACTCTGGCAGGAGTTTTGTCCACTGGCACTGGTTGGGCTCCACATGCGGAACCATCAATCTTGCGGGATGGATCTCAGACGGACGGATACGCGGCTTTGATAGATGAACGAGAGTGCTTAGAGTGCTTCTCAGGAGACTGTTCCGCCGGATGGGAGCTCTTGTGAAACTTACGCGCGGTTTCGCATTGCTCAGGACACCGCTTTTGCTCTGATGTCTCCCTTGGGCCGTGTCCGGCTATCCGTTTTGTGGATTCTGCAAAGATGAAGGTTAGTACACGGCAGTCCCAGCCGCGGGAATATGCCCTTGTAATTCCTTACATGATTTTGGGCAGACAATTTTGATACTAGGTTACCCAAAACGATGTAAACACGAGGACTATGAGCACAAGTTGCTCTAAGTGAGTCACCTTGCCGTCCGACTCAGACCAAGGGGACGGCAAGCGCGCTGCGCGGCACATCCCCTATCGGGACGCAGTGGCGACGAAGCTGCTGCGCGAGTGCTTTGGGTACCTGGGCTCAGGGGGTTCTCTCAGACTGAGGCGACATGTACTGCCCACGAAAGAATAAAGATGCACCAACTCTTCCTAAAACTTGGGGGTAGTGGAAACCCTCCTGGAATGATGCTGAATCCTGCACGGCCTTGTAGGCGTTGTGGCTTCTGTGCTCGGATGCTTATCGCGACAGATTCCATGTTCCACGCTGCAGGCAGAGACTATGTGAGATGGTGATGTTATGTGAGAATATGCCATTCATGTGTGATGTTATGTGAGAATGTGATGATGTTATGTGATGATGTTTAGAAGCTCTTTGCCCGTCAATCATTTCAGAAGGGTCGTTGGGGGATGCGGCTAATCGCCATGGCTTTCCAAGTCCATGCTTCCGTATCGCAGAACCATTGAACGCCCCATTCGTTCTCGGCGCCTCGGTTTCCGCTATGTCACCTTGTTTGTGGCTGTGTGTTTTTGCATGTTGTTTCCAGAAACCCCGAATCACTTTGTCATTGTTTGTCACCAAACCACGCAAGTGGCCCGGTTTTTCGTGTTTTGGCCGAACAGACCGCGAAACCGAAATCGTTTGTCAGCGACCGGGAAAACCACGACATATATATATATATATATATGCTACGCCCCCTCCCAATGTCGATCTGTTTTTGCTTTCAACGGTATTTGCGGTGTTCTGTGCCTTTTTGTGTGGGGGGTATATAACATATATACGATATATATATATATATACATATATATATATATACATGTATAAATTTCCAGAATGCAAACAGGCAAGCACAAACAAGCGCGAGACCGAGCGGCGACTTCTTGGCTCGGAGGCACGGGCGCTCTATGCTGGTGGCCTTTGGAGCCGAAGGCTTCGATGCCTCGCTGGCCGCGCTGGAGCTGGCGCGTAGGCACGAGAAGTGCCGCGGAGAAGCTCGGAGCTGCGTGCCCCGCGGCGCACGGGGGCCGGCGCAGGGCGCCACGGGCGCCACGGGCGTCCGGCGGCTTTTTCTGGGGGTTCTGGAGGTTATGTCCGGTTGGGTTTGAAACGTCTTTTTCTTGGTGGGTCAATACGAAGTTTCCTTTTGGGGGTGATGATTCAAGGGGAAATGTACGGAGCTGGTGTTTTTTTGTTGGGGGCGGGGGAGCGGGTCAAGGTGTGGGGCCTTAAAAGAGATCAGCCCAGGTTCGACCGCGCGGCCCAGCTCAGAGAGATCGACGAGGAGGCGGGATCCATTTTCTTTTCGGACTTCCAGGGAGAACTGCCCTCATTTCTTCACTGCTATTGGGTTGGATCTTTAGACTTTAACCTTTTGGGAAATCGAGGCGTTTTCCACTGAACCCCCCAACAGTTAAGCTTTTTGCAGGGGGTCAACAGCAACCAAGCTTTGGCTGTTTCCGGGGGCTATCAAAGTCAGAAGATGGGGGTTCTTTTGGTTGTTGTTTTTTTCCCTACCATTTAGGGTGTGACCTTGGCCATGGTGAAACAATGGGGTTGAAGAGAAATCGGGAGTTCCCGGTCCTTTGACGAAATGGGTGTTTCTTCAATTGAGCTCCCTCTTGGCTGATATTTTTTCAGGGAAACCAATCGAAACCAACCATTTTAGGATTTTAGGGTACTATATAGTCTGAGAAATGCTAAAGAGTAGGCCAAACTCAGAATGTCTGAAACCAACACGCACAAAATATGATAGACGCTTGATACGAAGCAAGTAGAGGTTTTCCGTCAACCTGCAGGTTTTTTAGGCACCCCATGAAACAGAGTTGCTCCTGATTCCCAGGCCCATTGAATTCGCCACATGCGGGTCGCTATTTTCAATTGAATCCAATCTGAAGCCAGAAGTAGCCACTTGTTATCATCACGTAAGAACATTATTTGTGGCTTTTTCTGTTGGAATGTTAGGAGACATCTCAGGAGCCCTGTTGTCTAGATATCGGGTGATTTTCAGCTTTTCCTTCCTTGGTTTAGCTTCTGAGTTCTTGAGGGGCTCAAGAGTGGGAGAAGCTCTTTAAGGGCTCCGTTTCCTCAAAGGCGAAACGTCAGCCATCCATCAAAAGAAGCTCACAGGGGCCGGAAGTTGTGACAGGGACCCAAACAGCACATTGGGGCAAAAGACCCAAGCCTTTTCCGCTCGCGTGGAACTCGAAACTTAGAGGTTAGTGCCTTGTGAAAAAGGGGCCTGAGCCTAGTAGAGTCGGATACGGTCAGTTGAACGCCAACACACTGCAAAACAATTTGGAGCAAAGAAATCGATAACACTAAAAAGGATTGAACAGTTTATCACGCCCTTTTTATACAACCCCTTGTGTTGGTCCAAGTTTGCCATGCCGGTCATTCTGCGCATTTGCCAAATGATAGAACAAGTGCCCAAGGTAAGCTCAATGAGAACAGATATCTCATGTGGACCAAGCGGGGGAAGCTTGCTTGAATTTGATGCAAGCTGTGAAGACATGGCCTGTCGATCCTGTAGGTCTGGGAAACATGCCGCTGGTGTAAGACAAGTTAGCACAGGCAGAACTGGCTTGGCAGCCAAGCGTTCATAGCGACGGTGCTGTTTGATCCTTCGATGTCGGCTCCTATTGAGACGCAATCGCAAAGTGTCGCATTGTTCACCCGATAGGAACGTGTGCTGGGTTTAGACCGTCGTGAGACAGGTTGGTTTTACCGTGCCTGTCATTCTGGGGAGGGGAACCCCAAAGCCCAACCAAAGCTTGTCGCTGCATTTCCAAGTTTTTTTTGGTTGAACTAAACGAACGAAACAATTCCAGATAGTTCAGTTGCAAGCTAAGCTGTTTGGGGACCAATATACGGGTGTGTCTTTTTTTAGTGAGCCCCCAAATGGCTGGTTTTCCGTTAGATTTCATTTTAGAACCACCAAAACAGGAATTCCATCCCTCCAACAAGCATGGAAGGTGCAATCGGAGAGTTTTGGAAGATTATTTCCTTACCCCTTTTTGGGTGGTCTTAAATTGAAACCAAATGAAAACCCAGCCATTTTGGGCTACCCCTAAAAATAGGGGATGGCTTAATACTCACTTTCTGAGTCCCTGGACCTTAAACTTTTTGGATAGACCATTTTAGATTGGAACTGTGTGTGTGTGTGTGTGTCACAACTCACCTTCGCTCATTAAGACCGAACTCTGGCAGCTCTCACGACTCGACGCTGGCTTATGTTTTGTGGGCTGAAGTCGGGCACAGGGAGACCATCAACGCGTCAGGCCTATGGAACCAAACTGAAGGGAAAACGTTGGTTTTGCCATGAAACTGAAGGGAAAACGTGGGTTTTACCATGAAACCCCAGGGGAGAAAAGAAAACCAGCCTTTTTTTTGGGGGGGGGAGGGGGGGGGGCAGCGAGGTACCCTCCAGAAATGGACCCAGTTCCGCCCAGCTTGGAGGCCTCGCAGCTCTGCTCGCGCCTGGGCCTTGCCTGGGATCCGGATCGACGGCTGCAGCTGTCGATGGACGCGCCGGGGCCACGGACGCGTGGGTCTGGGTCAAAATGAAAGCACCAGGGGACCGCAGGTTTTAGTCCTTGGTTCCATTTACTAGGGTTCCGAAATGGATACCCATTTTTTGACCCACGGCCGTGTCTCAAAATGGGGAGTCCCCCCCCCCCGTCTCGTATGGTGGACACACGGAGTTGATTTGGGAGTGTCTTGTGTGTGTGTGTGTGTGTAGGGTGTGTGTGTGTGTGTGTGTGCTTCAGCTGGCTACGCTGACTCCAATAATTGCACGTGTTGCCTCGTGATCAACCCACCCCCCTCTAAATACGCCCTCCCTGTTCCAGCAATTCTAAACATTCGGGCCAGCCGCGCGCTCCGGACGTCTCGGTCTTCCGCGAGGTCGGAGGCGGAGGTGCGGCTGGCGGAGCTGCGGCTGCGGCGGGGGGTTGTGGCGGCCTGGCAGGACTGGGCCCTCCTCCGCCAGGCGCCCGGGGCGGCGGCGGCGGCGGCTTCGGCCGGTTCGGTAAAGGGAGCGAGCCGAAGGGACAGGTTGGCGCGCGGTGTTTTTTTTTGTTTGTTGGTTGGCGCGGAGGGGTGAAGTGGGGGGGAGTTGGAGGAATTAGGGGGACTTGGGGGAACTGGGGGCCTTGGGGATAAATGCGTTTCCTGTTTTTGTTGAGCTAGGATTCGTTGGAAGATTTTGGCATGGGGCGAGAGAGCCGACCAGTCCAGGCTTAAGCAGCTTGAAGCTGAGGTCATTGTTTCAATCTGCCTGGACTACAGTATCTTTTTCACAAGCGCACACAGGTACATTTCTGGGCCAGCCTTGTGCTGTCCGCTCTGTACTGTGGGTGCAGTGCCGTGTCAAATGTTAGTAGAGGCAATTTACTATTGTTTGGTTTGAGCTTGTAGTTGGGTCGGTGGTGTTCAGTTCTACGTCTCAAAGATAGCATTGCAACCAGTGCTACTTGAACATTGGAGGTGTCCTGGAAAGCTGTGCTAAGAGGAGAGCGGGCTGATCCCCCAACTTACAGGCACAACGCGGTTTGGTTCCAAGAATCTCCTAGCACACATTCCTCCCGCGCTCACAGCAACCTCCCCGCAAATGCTGACATGACCTCTGTGAGGTTGTGGATGTGACAAGGGGAGTGTCTTTTTGCGACGAGGCGTTGGTCCCTCAGTTTCCCTTGTTTGGACCTCCGAAAGTAGCAAAAAGTCTCAGCGGCACCCGACTCGCCCCGAAGGCTTCGCGTGCAGCCGGCCAAAAGGAGGCGCATGAAACGGGTGAAGTCACCTGCGAATGTGTGGGGGGGGGGGGGGGTTCTCACGATGGACCCCTTTTTGGGTGGTTCTAAAGGGAAACCAGAACGACACTTCTCTCATTTTGGGGTTCGCCAATTTCGACAAACTGGGAACTGAAGGGACATCGGCACCTTCAAGTAGGCAAAAATGGGTTCCAACGGCCGATATGCTTGACAACCTTCCCGGCACTGCAGAGGTGTCTTTTGCCGAGAAGCAGGGCGGAATTTGATTTAAATCATTTCCGAATGTGCATATTGACAGATGGAATGTCAGGATCGAATCGATTCAGAGGCTTGCTTAGGTCTTAGGTGTGGTTGACCCATGTTGACCCATCCATAACTTACAACCTCAAGCTGCCTCTGGGCATACGCTCTGCGCTTGCGATGTGTTGTCTCGACAATCGTCGCCCCAAATTGGCTGGTTTGCTCTTGGTGTCCCTGTCAAGCAGCTCCAAACTTTTGCCTCAGCACAACAAAGTCACAGCCATGGATTTGGGCCAGGACCATCTTCAATCCGAGTGCTCTGGCCGACCGATTTCAGCCACAAGCGCTGTGGAAGGCAAAATGCACGCGGCGCAGGAAGCAAACATGAGGGAGGGGGTGTTATTCTGGGCGGCCGCCCAAGCTCCCATCGCCCAGCCATGCCAACAAGCGCATCCAAGAAAAAGATAGTTGTTCATTTTTTGGGAATTCCAGGGTGGCCTTCTTGGCTTTGCTTGGCAATCATTTGGTTCTGTGGGAAAACCGGAATGATACGCAACCAGGTGTCTAACGTTCTCGTAGAGAAACTCATAAGCCTTATTTGTTGAGTCTCCCCTCTTTGGGGTTGGTTTGCCCAGACATCGAAGGGAACCACTCATTTTTTGTTGGGTGGGGGGTCCTCCAGTCCTCCATTTTGACACGCGCTCATATGTGTTTCTTGGGTTGGGCCTGTCCAACAGACTCGGGCAATGGGAAACTAGCAATTGCAAGCCACTGGCACGCCCCTTTGTTTGCCGGGGCCTTTTTGAGGGCTTGCTGGTTGATGGGGAATGATTCAACTCATGTTTGGAAGGTTCGGTACATGGCTCACAGGAAAAAATCTGACGTCCAACACCAAACTCTTGATCTTTTAATCTTTGATTTGCTTGTGTTTGGTCCTGGAGCCAGACTTTCACTCCCGAAGAAGCTCGCGTTTTTCAAGACTTGCGGCTCAAGTCGGGGGGGAAACGCCTTCAGTGTGGGTTTCGGGGCACGATGTGGCGTGCCGCGAGCCGCTTGGCCCACGAAGCACCGACGCTGTTTCATTGATTGATGAACCCACGGAATCTCGAAAAGGCACTTGCTGAGATCCAAGAATCTTCCAGTGGAGCCCCATCCCCTCCCCCCCAAAAAAAACAGTTCAAGGATTCTTAGGGCTTAGGGCTCAGCAAGGCATCCCTGATCAAGTAACTCGGGTTGAAAAACTGGCGTGTTGGCGACCTAGGTGATACTTTGCCCCCCCCCCCCCCCGCCGGTGCCGTTTGGCGTTCGGCACTGCAACGCGCCCTGGTTACACTGCGTCTCCCACGCTGTCCACGCGCGCCGACAAAAAGCGGTTCCTGAGGTCAAGGTTGCGTGGACGGATTGTGGAAGCCGGCTCAAAACTTGGCACGGACCAGGTTGCGCCCTGGGCATCACACGCGTAATCCCAAAGGCGGGCTCTTACGCCGCTCCCCACCCCTAAACAGAAGCAAAAGAAGCGGATCCCTGCTGACTGGCGATTGATTGTGGGGTGTGTGTGTGTGGCTTTGTCACGAAGCATCAGACAAAACATGTAATTATCGCCTCACCCCCGCCCCACAGCTGCAGCCCCCGCGAGCATCACCCTGCACCCTGCCAAAGCGCTGTTGCCCCACCCGCCCCAGCCCACCCCAGCCCACCAAGCACTGCAGTTGCCTCGACGCTGAAGGCACTCTGGAAGCTGACAACCTTTGTCCTGTTCCTGTCAAAGTCAGCCAACGCAGGCAAGATGCTGAGGTTTTCGTGGGCAGTTGTAGCAGGGCAGGTTTGGCAGCACTGTCCGGTGCGGTATTTTCAGGTTGTGGGTGCAGTAGGCCCAATGGCTTTGCGAGCTGAGGAAGTCCTTCAGTGAGGTTGGCACATGGCCAGCGCAGCTTCTCAGGCGGGAAAGTTGAGGGCCTCCGGATCGGCTTCGGCTGTGTAGGGGCGCGCGTTGCAGCCGGGGCACCGGTTCTCCAAAACGGCGTGTCAGGTGTTGTTCATTCGCTGCTGGTGTGGCAGTTTGCCTGAACCAGAAAACCCCCGTGTTCATGCAGGTGGGGTTTCGAAGTCCCAACACCTGTGACGCAGGGTTCATCGTGCCACGGAGGGTGCCCCAAGTGTGAGCCATTCGGGGCTGTTTCGCTTGTGTTCATTTTGAAGGCATAAAGCATGGGTATAGTTCAGCCGGAGCCCATATACAGGCTCCAGAAGCCCCATGTTGGCCATGAGCTTCGGTGGATGCGGGGAACCAATTTAGGTTGATTGGTCAGCCCAGAGTCCAAAGGCTCAGTCTTTTTAACGAGCCAAGCCTTGAAATCAAGAAACTGCAATGCAGACTGGACAACAAACATACGAAACACACGCCGCCAGAATACCAGTGCCGGAAGGCACACCGACTCAGTGTTTTCAAACAAAAATGAGGGCCCCAGCCTACGGCTTCAGGACTTCCAGAGGAAGGGACCATTGAAGACGCCCCATCCAAAGCATCACAGTTTCGACGGTTGAGTGAGGTGCTGTTTGGGCCTACAGGCCTCGCAGTCCTCCAAACCTTATATGAATTTGGCGCTCAGAGGGCGACGAACTCAAATCCGGTGGTTGGCTCGGTGATTCCGAGCGCTTTTCATCGCGAGGTGTCATCGTAGGCGGCGGTGTCACGGGGGCTGCCATGCTATATCAGCTGGCCAAGCGGGGCGTGAAGTGCGTCCTCTTCGAGAAGGCGGGGATCAGCGACGGTCGAGGACAGTTTCCGCAATAATTGGCTGTGGCTCAAAAAAGTGGTGCCAAAATGGCACCTTGGTAAATGGAACCAAAGACTAAAACCCGCGTAACCCCAGCTCTTTAATTTTGAGCCATACCCAAATAGAGGAACACAGAAAGGAGGCAAGTACACTCAGATCGACCAGGTCTTGCTAGTCTGGGCGAGTGAACAGTAAGGGCCTCAACAGAGTCACGCATGCCAATTTAGGCTCAGGCTACGCTGGGTGCGACGGACCTCCTAAATATACGAGTGATGTTGGGGGGGTTGCTTTCTGTGGGGAGAGGCCATACTTGGCAGGTGCTGATACCACCTCGCTTTAAGGAAGTGCTCATTTTTTACAGCTGGGCCTGCCTCCGCGCAAATAGCTCGGCCGGAAATGCTCGGTTGATGCAACATGAGGAGCTGTGGGATCTTAATGCCGAAGGCGCATAGCTGGAACAGCTCTGACCTCAAAGCAGTTCAGAACATGAACAATGCCTCGGGGCTTTGTGTGCAATGCATCCTTAAAGAACCTTGGTTGGAACGCCCCTTGGTGACCAACCAAGAGACCAAGAGAGTACACTCCCTCAGACTAGCATGGAAGCTCCCAGAAGGCCTCTGTAAATGGGACCAAGTCTTCCAAAGGGATCCTGGGAGCTTCCATATTAGTCTGGGGGAGGGTACAGTGTTTAACATCACGGGTCGACAAGTACTCCCATTTAGGTGCCATCCCCGGAACATGTACATGCACCTTCGACTCACTTCATGTACTCCCCTCCTGCAGTTTGTCAGGGAAACGCAGAACCCCTCATTTAATTTGCAGAATATGCTTTTGGCATCTTTTGCCCCCCGTTGTCATTTGAAAACAGGCAGGTGCTGAACAGCCCAGAATTCGAGTGCTCCTATGTTCCCAAAAAGGAAACCAACAGCAGATGAGCAAATGTTCCTCTTTTTGCTGGTTCCCTCACCCGCTTGCCCACCCCTTACCCCCCCGAAACCTCCTAAGCTCCCCCAGTCGAATCCCCGGTAGGGCGAGCTGACCTGTGGCGCCACCTGGCACGCCGCGGGCTTGGTGACCCGCTTCCACGGGGGCAACAACTTCCGGCTCTGGCACGATGAGGCCGGGGCCCTCGCCGTCTTCGGAGCCGAGGGGTCAAGTTGGCCGTGGTCCTAACACATCCCCTTGGGCCTTTGGTGGGCCGACCCAATCGACCTGACCGACTGATTGAGCGAGAGACCAACCAACTAACCGACCAACCAAACCAACCGACTGATCGATCGACCGACCGCCCGACCGAGCACCCAACCGACCACCCAATCCGCTTGACCATTTTTGCTTCTCAACATCAGGTTGGCAGGCGGCAACGGTTCCTTTTGGTTGCCCCTGAACCACTCAAGAGTTGACCTCTATTTTGAGCACGGCAGTTTGGCTCTCAAGCAGCCAGATACCTCTTGAGGCGGGGCTTGTCTGTCCTCCCGTGACGGGACTCTGCCTGTGAACTTCAAGGACTGCTTGATATGACCCTTCTTCTCGGTGTGCTTGCCTTGTGGCATCCGGCGATCCGAGAGAACTGAGACTAGCTACAAACAGAGTGCGTTGCAGTTCATGCCAGTGAAACCTACCAGCGTCCAAAATCCAGGAGTTTTGGGTTTGATTCAAAGAGGACCCTCCAAAATTGTTATGTGTCCTGTTGCACCCTTAAAACCACATTCAAAAGCGTACCCGCCCAAAAACGGCGCCCATTTGTTCAGAACTAATGCATCAACAGAGGTTGAAAGCCGGCCAGCAACAAGTGGCATTGGCAGAGAGCTGATCAAACATCCAAGCGCTGGCACAACTCTGCACGTCAGCCAACTAGTTCACCAGTCTGATTCACCCTGAGTTCAGCTTTCCGGAGTCTTCGCAAAATGTGCCGAATTATCGGACGGCAAGGGAGATTGTTGCCCAAACATCGACTGTCCGCCGCGCCAGGGTGTGAACCTCTTTACAAAGTGGCAGAAGGAAGGCGGACTGGGTTGCTGGGGATTTGCACCCCCAAAATGATTAGGTTTCTTTTGGCTTCCCTTTCAACCAACCCCAAAGCGTCAAAAAGGCTGTTTACTTGAAGTCATGTCGCTGAGGACCAGTAGCTGTTTCGCGCGGGAAAGCCCCACAGTTGAAGTGAGACTTGATCTGCTCATGTGGGTGGCGCGTCTTTTTTTCTTCTTTTTTTCTTCGGACCCCGAAAACGGCTTTGGCTTTCCTTTTGGGTTCTTCTTAAAGCCCACAAAAAGAGGTACCAAACCCTCAAAGAAAGACGCACCCTTGTACTGCCGACTTCATGCGTATGTCTGCACTTTGCAAGCCATAAAGTCCCTCGGAGGGTGTTCATAGCGCAAACTTAAACGGACGCGCAAGTCACCAAGAGGTTGTTCATGGCTCAAGCGGCAAAGGGAAGCGCTCTTCATTCGCAGCTCTTGGTACAGCAACATGGGCCACAGGACAAGTGACAGTTGGGACAGTCACTACTCCAAACAAAGTGCCATTCGTCGTAAGCACAACTATTTTTAGCAAGGAACATCCGATCATGGGTTCGGGACCTGTATTTACAAGAAGCTCGCATCGCATCTGCATTCAAGCATACATGCTGAGTACGATGACGGTGACGGTGAACGGAAATGGTGACGGTGATGGTGGTGGTAGTGGTGATGATGAGCAGGAGGAGAAGGAGGAGGATGACGATGGCGATGACGGTGACAGTGACAGGGATGGCGATGGTGCTGGTGATGATGATGATGATGAGGAGGAGGAGAAGGAGGAGGAGGAGGAGCAAGTGTACAGCCGCAAAAGCACGGTATTTGCTCCCATTTCTAGAATCCCAAGGCGCAAGCGAACTTGCAAACTGCAGTGAGAGATACGGGACAAGAGGAGAGGCCGGCGGACAAAGAGAAACGGATCATGAGTTGCAACGATTTTGAAGGTTTGAAAGGCCGCTTTTTAGGTTGGGCAACAGGTGCTTGGGCAGACCTCCAGCCCCTCCACTTGTCAGTGGGGCTAAACAAAGGTGGTTTGAAGCATGGGGCTTAAAACAAATTTGACGCATGGTGAACAAATCCAGGGTTCAAAACATGGTGTGCCCTTTTTGGGTTAGTTTGGGTCTGTCTTCTGTTGAGGGTACCCTGTGTTTGTTCGATTCCTAAAAACGAGACACTCCAATGCTCTTCTGACTACCTTTCACAAAGGAATACCGATCCCATCAGGTCTTTGTACTACCCTTTTCAAGAGGAAACACATGATTAAATGGGTCTGCCGTATTTTAGGAATCGGACCCCCCAAAAAATGGCATCGTTTTCCGGTTGGTTCTCCTTTAATTAAACCCAGCCCAAAGAGAAATACCACCCCCAAAAAGGGCCCCGGTTCTCCATTTGGTTCTCTTGGAGAAAAGAAGCTCAAAAAGGGCAGAACCGACCCAAAAAAGTTTTGAGCCGAGACGCCAAGCGTCCGAAGGCACGGAGCTGAGCTTCCACACCCCCGGCTCCGTGCGCTTGATCCCGGACCAGCGCCGCGGCCGGCGGCCGGGGGTTCGACGCGTGTTTTCCGACGGGGTAGAAACGGCCGGATCTGCGGCTCGTGTTTTTCTTTTAGGGAACCCGTTTTTGGGTTGGTTCTGAAAGGGAAGCCAAGCGGAAAATTATGATTATGTTTATTTTGTTTAGTTTAACCACTTTTTCCCGAAAGCATGGCGAAGGGTTCTTCCGCTGGGTTCACTTGAGTTGTTCTCATGAGAGTCATTACAAGGTGTCATTGCAAGGAATCATCATCATGAAAGTCAATCATTGCAAGGAGTCATTGCAAGGAGTCATTGCAAGGAGTCATTGCAAGGAGTCATTGCAAGGAGTCATTGCAAGGAGTCATTGCGGAGTCATTGCTCATTGCAAAGTCATTGCAAGGAGTCATGAGAGTCATTGCGAGCTGCGCGTGGGGTCAAGTGCAAGTTGCAAGTGCAAGGAGTCAAGTGCAATTGACTAGCGAGGAGTTAAAATCTCTTCTTAGGGCGGCGGGGTAGTGCCGACGACACTACACGAAAATCGACCCTCTGCGGGGATCGGCGTGGTCGAGGTGCAAAAACCATGGTTTTTTTTTGCGATTTCTGCGGTGCTCGCGCGCCCCTCTGCGGGGATCGGCGTGGTCGAGGTGCAGAAACCCATGGTTTTTTGCGATTTCTGCGGTGCCCGCGTGACCCTCCGCGGGGATCGGCGTGGTCGAGGTGCAAAAACTCGAGGTTTTTTGCGATTTCTGCGGTGCCCGCGCAACCCTCTGCGGGAATCGTGGTCGTGCGATTTCTGCGGTGCTCGCGCAACCCTCTGCGGGAATCGGCGTGGTCGAGGTGCAAAAACTCGAGGTGACTTTTGTTGTTCGAACTGGTCCTCGGGAGTTGTCTCGTGGTTCGCGCGCCTGCTCCCGGAACCGGCGGGTCGCGGGTTCGATTCCTCCCTGGTCCGCGGGCGGGCGTCGCAAGATGCAACTTGCATTTTAAAGCAACTTGCGCAGAGCAACTTGCGCAGAGCAAGTTGCACAGAGCAACTTGCGCAGACCAACTTGCACCGACCAGTTTGCGCAGAGCGCCTTGCCAGCAACTTGCGCAGAGCAACTTACGCAGAGCAACTTGCACAGAGCAACTTGCAGGGAGCCACTTGCAGGGACCAACTTGCCGGAGCAACTTGCGCGGAACAACTTGCGCAGAGCAACTTGCACAGTGCAACTTGCGTAGAGCAATTTGCGCAGACCAACTTGCAGCGACCAGTTTGCGCAGAGCACCTTGCCTGGTGCTGTCTCGCGCTTGCTTCACGAATGCTTCGTGGAGGGAAAAAGAACGCAGCCTGCAGCGTTGGGCCGACCTCGCTTGCGATGTTATGCTTTCGGGCCAACCGTGGTCTAGTTTTTTTTTGGGGGGGTCCCCTAAGCACCTGAGATATACCCTTTTGACCTTTTGGTTTCCTCATTTTGGCAACCATTGAAAGGACACAAAAGGTGATCGCCTTTGATTTCTGGCTCCCAAGCAACTGACGGTCCTAGTCAGGGAACCCCTCTTGGACCCCTTTTTGAGCAAAAATGCACGAGGGGTTTAGAACAGGAGAAAAAAGATAGTTACTTGGGACCCGGCCAATGATGGGTCTCGACTAATGGTTTAATAAGGAACCACTTCACAAGTGGTAGGACCAAAGGGTTCCCTTACAATTCATGCCCGAAGCAGGGTGCTACTCTTGGACCCTCTTGTCTGGCAATGACCAGCGGCTTTTTTTTGTGGATCAGTTTGAGGTCCAGTGGTTTCCTTTCAGGGACCCAGTTTGTGCGCAAAAGTGCATGGTTTTGAGGCCCCTCTTTCGTTCTCTGCGCGTGCCTTGCAAATCAACACCTCAAGTTTGGAAGGGTGCTGCTTTCGGACTGAAAAAGCGCATGAGATGCTGGTGGGCAACAAGTTTCAGTTTGTTTGAAGGTTGCCGCCTGCAACCTCCAACGCGATTTGCAAAATGTGTAAATCCAAAAGGCGAACCGATCCTTCAAACCCAGCACCTGGAAGCCATTGCCAAATTGAACTTAGGATGCGGACATTGCTAACCGAGGCACCTGGGTTTTGGAAGCACAGTTTGGTCTGGGCTGTTTGTTTTTGGGGTTTGTCAACGAACTGTAGGTTTCCCACTTGGTGATTTCAACTTGGGTATTTTTTGTTGAGGGTTCCTTTTCAGCTTGGTTTAAAGGGATATCAAAAGGAACATCGCCATTTGTCGGACCCCCCAATTTCGATACATAGCCAATACATTCGCTCCGATTCTGGCTGAGGAAGGACTATATCTCGGAGGCCGCGAGAGTGGCTGATTGCCTGTGGGTGGAGCGATAGAGCCTCCTTCAAGCTCACCGATTCGGGTCAAAAAACGAGCGAAAGCTATGATCTAGGTCCTTTACTTCGGGATCCTCTTTTGTTTCAGGCCTTGTTCGATAGAATTCGCAGACGGATGAGTAGTGGACGTAAAACCTGTCAAGCCTTCAAAGGCTCAATGAGCGCCCGAAGCTTGCAAAATAGCAATTTGGCAGGGGGTTATAGTAAGGCTCATATAAATGATTATAGTGGGAACCCCGGATTAATAAGCCCTGGTTGATTACTAGGGGTGTCCGGGCATTCATCACATTTGGAGGGAACAAGCCCCTATTGGCAGGAGGGTTTTATTAAATTGGGGGTCAACATCAATAATTTTGGCAGAACCCAAAGTCAATGCGTTTCGGGAGCTGCTCAAATGACATTTGCTGGCAGTTGCCGGTACCTGCTAGGGGGACACTCACTGTATGGCAGATGAAACCTGGCGTTTTGTATGCATCATGTTAAACATAGTGGAACTATGGGAACTTGACTTGGACATTTAACTAATTACCTTACGGTTTTAATAGGTCACCTTGGAACGTTTGTGGCTGGGCTAAGCCTTGATTTCAAGGCGACCGATCATTTCTCTTCGATTTCCTGCCGGGAGGCTCTCAGTTACTGTTGACACAGATCCGGGTTACACTGGTGTAAAAATTGGTTTAGAAATATGTTTTATGCCCCAAAACCAGGGAATCCCATGGACATTCTCCAGTTTTGTGCATGTCATGTGCCCTCAGTTTCTGTCCAGAGCCTTGGGAAGCTGAGCTGAGTCCAATTGTGCTTGCAGTCGAGGGGAGCATCCACACAAAATCAAGCCAATCCACATACCCGGTCATGTTCCCAAGAGTTCAACCAAAGCGGAATGGCACTGTAGCCGCGCCTGCCATTGGCAGATCCAGCGATCTCCAGGCCAAGTACCAGGTGAGCAAGGCCAAGATCTTTTCAGGGCTCTTCGAGTGCGAGGAGCATCACATGATCTCGCCCGACGAGATCAAGGCGCGTGATGCCATGCCATTCCTTCCCAGTTTCCTCCCCGGTCCGATGCCCTTGAGTCCTTCTTGTTGGGTGAGGGTGCCGTTTTTGGGCCACTTCAAAGGGAAACTGAAGGGACACCGCCAATTTTGGGGGTTTCCCCTGAGACAAAGCCGGAAATGATTCGTGATAGATTCTTGCGGTCTTGGTGCTTCTTGTGCAGGCCTTGGGAGGCAACTCAAAGTGGCTCCAGATGGGTGTATTTTTGTTTGAGGGTACCTTCTTTTGTGGTTTTTAAGGGAAACCAACAGGAAAACCGCCATGTTGAGGGTCCCCCCAAAAAGCCGACACACCCGGATGGCTTTTGCATTCCACCATTCACTCGTTGCATGTCGCAGCTATTGGCATTTGGTACTGGGGAGTAGTTGTCGAAACAACATGAAGCAACTTGCGGGCGCAACCGGAGTTGCTGGGACCACCTGTTCAGCGGACCCCCCAGAAGATCGCCCGTTTCTTGGCAATTCCCTGGGAGCCTTTTTTTCCCCTTTTGGTGATTTTAGACATCACCTTTTAGCTGCTTTTAGTGTTTGGTTTTCAATTTGGGGTGATGTTTTGGGAAATACTGGAGCCATAGGTTCCTTAGGTTACTTTGGTTAGAAATAGATTCGGGTTCCACTGGTTTAGATGGGTTTTATGCCCCCATGAAGACCAGGAAACTCATGGATTTTTTTGCAATTCTGGTCACCTGTGGTTGGAGCCATGTAGCTTCCAGGAAAAGCACCCCTTGGTGAGCCTTGATGGCATCTACGGGGGCATCTACACCACAGGGGATGGCCACATCGACCCCAGCAGCGTCACCAACGCTTTCGCGGAGCGGGCTAGAGGTGGGCGAAACGGGGAGTCGAAACGCCACCAATAAAGGACAGTCCTCAACCCTGGCCCTATGGCACGAGAAGGGCTTTTGCTATGCCGGGGCTTTTGTCAGCAGAGATTTGAATTCCTGAAAAGGACCGTGCCACAGTGCAGGGATTCTTGAAGCGGTCAACGATCACCCTCCTTTGTTCCACAGGATGACATGGGCACTCGCCATTTCAATGCACAAAGGTTCGCCCAAATCCAATTGGAGACGAGAGATGACTGTGGCTTTTGTCGATCACCCAAGTTTCTATTCCCCTTGCAGTGGTTGGAATGGCCATGTTGCTTCGGCAGGTCTGCAGTCTGCAGAGTCTGTAAGGAACAGACTGACCCTCTTTGACATTGAAGTGTGGAGAGGATGTTCTTTGTCTTGGACCTGATTGAAGGCGTGTTGATTAATACACAAGGACTGAAAGCAAAGAAATCCGGCATGATTCCTGTGACTGGGCTTGCCTGATTTCCTCGGTCAGCTCTGGGCGGCGTGATCGAGCAGAAGACCGAAGTGGTAGGCGAGGCTCTGAGGGGCCATCTCGGGGCAGCAACTAGCGGTGTCCAGGTGTCCTTTTTGGTTTTGGTTGAAAAATAGATGGGGTTCACTGGTTTACCTGGTGGTTTAATCATCCACTAGGAAAACCTATCTATTTCCCCTAAAAGGACACCCATGGCCCTGCCAGTGTCTCCAGAGCTGGTTTTATTCGCAACTCGGTTGTCCAAAGCGAGTTTCACCTTTTGATCTTTTGGTTTTCCCATGGTCCTTTTTGAGTCCTGGCCCCAGAAAGCGAACCTTCTGTGTCTGCCTTTGGGCAACTGTTTCTGGCATCTTGAGGTTTTTGATGGAACTTGGCGTGGGTAGCTGACCACTGCGCATTTGAACTTCCATTTGCTAAAGCCATGGATCTCGGAAGCAACACATGGGGGTACATGCCCGAGGCAAGTCGTGCCATCTCTGCAAAACATGCGTTTGGCAATTTGCTGCACGCTTGGACGCCTGTTTTGTTGGGCTAGACCTTTGGGCCTTGGTTGGCTGGTTGCTTTGCAAGATTAAGTTGGCTTGGCAGAAACCTTGGCAGGCCAATTACAGCTGCTTTGTGTCAATACCAAAGAAGGGGCAGAAGAAGATGCGATCTCTCCTTCTTGTTGTGGGACCCGCCATGACTGCCACCGGCTTTCTCATCTTCCATGCTGACACAGGAGTGACTTCCGCGGGTTATGGGGGTGACAATCGTCTCAGACGTGTTGCCAAGATATTAGCCCGGGCTTAATGATCTTCGGCGGACTCGTTGTAATGACCTGATGCTTTTGCATGAAATCAATGCATCCATGTTTACCTGATTCCTCATGTTGGTGGGCGTCTGTCAGTGATCTGTGCAATTGACTGACCGCTGGTTTTGGTAACCTTTTCCTGTTTAGTCATACTTGAGACACAGCCATTGTCAGGATTGTGCGATGCTTGTTTGTGTGTGTGTGTGTGTCACTTTTCAAGAATCCACTTTCAAGCCGCGATTGGGAGGGCAAGCTGTTGAAGGCACCTCTTTTGAGAGTCTTTAGCTGGCAACATGCATGGGGACGCTGGCGGGATCCGGCGCAGACACAGCGCGGGCGCGCTACCATGGCACCACAGGTTTTCGAAGCCCAAGTGCTAGCCCCCCCCCAATTTGAGGATACAGCAAGCAGTCGGTCTGCAGTTTGTCACCTTCTCCATGTGGAAAATCTTCAATAAGACTTTCACACGGAACCCTCAAAAGTGGACATAAATCCCCACGTCCTCGATTCATAGCGTTGGTTTCCCACAAGTGACGCGGAACTGGCCCAAGTTACTTGTGAAACGTAGTGCTTTCTCCACAATGGCCAGGGTGTGGCCCTTTGAGTTGGGGTCCTTGATCCTTTCTGCTGCCGTGGGCGATTCTTTGCAATTGCATTTCATTGGTTTGTTTGACCAGAGGAGCATGCTTACCGATGGTCGGCTATCAGTACCATGACTTGTGCTCGAGGTCAATTCGGCGGTTTCCGAAACAGAAAACTCATCCGGATCTGGACTCACTGGTCTCTTTGGGCCAGGCCTCACGCTTTTGCCCAGCAAGCAGTGGGAAGTGATCACCCGCAGCGGTGGATCCTCGGAGGGAAGAAGCGGGGGGGGGGGGGTCACGAACTTGTTTTTGGTTTCTTGTTCTTCGTTTGGCGCGGGGGGGGGGGGAGGTTTGCAGCGACCCGCTTTTTTCAGGTACCCCTCATGTGTGGTTTGGCTCGGTTTTGATGTGTATTTGAACCCCTTCTTGCAGGTATATGAGACGCTTGCCGAAAAGCCACAAAATCCAACCACGCCAAGAACGAGGTAAGAGCTGACTTTGGATTCTTGGAGGATTCTGGGACCTTTGTTTCTACCCGCCAGTTACCATTTTACCCAAAAGGCTGGCTTGCCGCGGGTCCGGCCGATCGGGATGGATGTATCCGTGCCCTCGGCCAGGACGGCAAGGGACTGCTCTCGGTAGGAAGGACCATGACAATCGGTGTGTGTGTGTGTGTGTGTCCGTTTGGTTTCAAGCAACGTGTTTGGACTGGATCTCTGATTTGAGGTCTGACACCAAGACCAAAGAAGCTTCAGAACTGTGTCCTCCAACCTTACGATTAATGACACAAAGTTGGACTTCCGCCGCGCAACCAATGTGATTTTTTGTTGGTACCAAGCCTTCAAGCTCAGGGCTGTGGGGAATGACCACTTCTGTGATACCACAAGCAGGGCTTCCCAAAGACTACTTTGTTAATATAAAGGGGGATTCCCTTGTATCACAGAAGTGGGGAGAAACCCCTTGATCCCGCAACCCTGTTCAAGCTTGCAAGTTTGCCAGTTTGCCAAGCCAGCAGCCGGTCTTCTCGCGCACGGCTTTCGGGCGTGCCGAAGCCAAGGAGAAGAGAAGCGCACGGTGGCGGACTTTGTGCTGAACTGCGCAGGTCTGTGGTGTGACAAGGCGGGATGCGAAAGGATGCGCCCTCACCCGGGAGCTTGGCATCCTTGTTATTTAAGGACAAGTGAGTTATTTGATCAGGTTGACTAGCAAGTCACCAACTTGTGGCTAGACTTCTCCAATCCAAACAATCGCACGAGATGTTCTTCTCGTCTCGAAAGCGCTTCGGAGGTTTGCCAGGTGGTTGATATCCGCATTCATAGCAACCTTGGCGATGGTGAATGACACATTTTCCCGTTGAACAGTCTCGACTAAGGTTTGCCCTCGTGAATGGAGAGTCATGGGGTCCGTCATCAGTTGGGCGAGCGTACGCAACAAACCAAGTCAGGCAAACGTTCCCGTTGCTGAAACCCAGCTTGACCGTTGATATGAGGTCTACAATCAACGACGGACGCTGCAGTTGCAGCCCATTGTGAAACCAGATCAGATTTGTCCTTGGAGGCATCCAATAAATTTCTGCCTATCCTATATTCGAATCAATGCACATATTTGGGCAAATTAAAACCTCGCAAAGGATACTGCAACCTCATGATGAAGATTTCTTAAATCGTTTTGCGTTTTGGATGTATGAGTTGTTGTCATCTGCCCATGTATGTGTATGCTCTCATGACATGTCATCCCACAATCTGTGCAGCTGCTCGGATCAAGTGGCACCGTTGGCGCTGTCAGCGGTTCCATCTTATGCGTGCTCCTCAGTCTGCTGCATCGAGCTGTGGTTGCGAATCCCTGGTTGTTTTGGCTCCGTGACTGAGCGAATGGATACAGGATTGAAGTGTGAACTCGTGGGTGTCGACACCTGTACCTGGCCCAGCCCGTCCGAAAGGGCAGCCGCCGCGGGGAAGCTTCGATCTCGCAGAGTGCGCGCGAGCTGGCGAAGCCTCCCAGATCGGCGCGCGCCCCTTTCTTCCATCCCGTCGGTTGAAGACCAGGGTGTGGAAAAACGTCATTCGCTGGTGCTGTTGTGTGAAGCTGCCCTTGACCCATCGATTTTGATTCTCGATGCAGACCACCAACCCACATGGGAGAAGCTGAGCCGGTCTAGAGCCATGATGACTGTTGCTTTCAGCGAGATGTCGGGCGCCACCCAAGAGCTTGCGCCCCACCCGACCTGATGATACCGGACCGTGATTGAAACTCCCTGAAAAAGGGTTGGCGGGCCCAGCATATCTCCATCTGATCCTGATGCAGTGTTGCGTGCAGAGATGGCTCGGGAGCCCGCCCGCCGCGTCCAAGTTGCTTCCTGGATCGCGTAGCGATTTTCGCAGGACGTCATGAACACCTGGCGGGCTTCGTGGAGGCGGAGCTTTTGCCGCCTGAGTCGAGGTCGAGAAGATCCTTTGAAAAATGAGGCTACAGCGCGCGGCGACGCTTGAGCCTTGCCTGCAAGAGGCACGCCGAGCCTCTCGTGCCTGTTTCCTATAGATGGAGACCATCCTCCTCGTCTTGAAGAAAGTCCTCATTTTTCTCCCGCTTTTCGCTTCTTTGCACTGAAGCGCTCTTTCCTCAGGGCGCCGTGTCTTCCCACGAGACAGCTTGATGCTGGGCCACATGAAACACAGACTTTTAAGCCTCGACATACATCACACACATACATATATTTATTTATGGATGTTACGCACCTACACATATCACGCATACAAATATCTACACATTGCTTTGTTTCAGATGAACAGCGTAGTGATAGATTGGCTACTTGGCGCTTCCGGGGATTCGGAGACTCGCACAGTGGTACTCTGACGGCTTCAGTTGCAGAAAAAGTTTGCGATTTTGGTGGTTCCGGAGGATGTCGACTGGCTGGGGGTTCTAGAGGGTTGCTGAGGGGTTGCTGAAACACGGTAGCTGGCGCAACCCAAAATGATACATGGCTGTTGGAGGGGCAGGCGTCTCCTTCCGGCTTTCAAAGTCCTTTGCCGAGAGTGCGTGCGCCTTTACCTCGTAACACCCGAAATTAATCAGGGAACTTCTCTGCGCGTGTCGGCCTCCAAATGTGAATGTGTGTCTTAGCTTTTATGGTCACCCTTCCGGGGATCCTTTGTGGGCTCTAAATCACACAAATTCCAATATCACTCGACTTGGCTCAACATTTTCCACGTTAGGCCCCAGGTGAATTACAGGGCCCGGTCAGCCGGTCAAAGCCGCGGCTTGGGTCAGGTGGGCGCCATGGCTGGGGTGCGGATCCCCTCGGTGGTGCTGCAGCACCAGTGCGCTCTGCGCGGAATCGACGGAGAGGCGATCGGGTTCTTTGGGGTTCCATGGCGATGTTTGGCTTCATCTTCAGCTCGGAATGAAAGTAGAACCCCTGCTGAAATGCACGAAAACAAGGGGGGCTTGGAGGCAGGAATGCCCAACACAGAGCCAAAGCAGCACCAAGGCAAGCATTTGGTTTCCAGAAGGTGACTATGAAGTGGGTTCCCCTTTTTCACAATCAGAATTGTTTCCCCCAACACATTCATTGTTTGTTGTTGAGTGTGCCTTGATTTGGGGGAAGCGCTGAAAAGGATCATGATGGATCATGTGTCCGGCAGCCAATTTGGGGGAAAATTGTTTTTGTCTACATGCGCATCTTTCTTTTCTCTTCCTGGCATCTTTCTTTCTTAGCCCCGTGCAATTGCAACCAGAGAGCCAGGAGCGGCCAGCATGAGGCAAGGGATGCATCTGTTCTGGCGCCAGCGCCAATGGCATTGAGCTCAAGTGGCCAGGTGCCGCAGGTTGGGTCCCTGCGGGTTCCGATGTGTGCGCGGCAAGCAGCGAGCCTCCAGACATGGTCATGCATAGTGTCGCCTTGAGCTGCCAAGACATTGTTTTGGACCACAAATCCAGGACCCCAGCTTGCGCCAGCCGAAACCAGTTGATGCAAGGTTGTCTCACCAGCAACATCTATTCCATCTATGTCTGCAAAAACTATTTTTACATGTATATATATATATATATTAGCACACATATTAACTTGGCTCTCCACATCTTTACCACGGCGGCAACTGCAACACATTCACAACCACGCAGACAATATTTTTCCCTTGTCCTTGAATTGTTCTTTCTCACCGCTCCCAATGGATGCGGCCTTCTGTCAGCCGGCGTGCAGCCGGAGCTGCGGACTGCCTGGCGAGCGCCCGCGGCGTCAGTCACGCCCCGAGCGGAAGCGAGCGTGGGCTGGCGAGGCAGGGAAGTGGTACGGGAATGATGCGGATAAGTATGAGCATTCTTTGCACATGACGAAAAATCAGGTTGGTGATATTCCAACCCATGCTAGTTCGGTTCTCTTTGGTCAAAGTAAGGCCTTGGTATGTGAAAATCGGGATTTGGACCCCCCACAAATTAGACCCTAAGGATTGGACTCGCAAATAGGCCCCAAACAGGCGGCTCGGTTTCCTTGGTCCAGGCCTCGTGGGGTGTTGTGTGTTTGAGGGGGGGGCCCAACAAGAAAGAAGCACCGTCCGGGGGCCCCGAAAAAATCAATTGGCGCGCCCTTGTGGGTATGTCAAAATGGGGTTGGTGGTAGGCCAAGGTCTGGTTGCCCGGGTAGCTTCACCGGCCGCGAGGGCCTTCTCACCGCCGCCTTCCTGCGGAGCTGCTGTCGGCCCCGCCCGAAACCTCGGGCTTGGGCGGCGGCCAAGGATGCGGACGCCGCGGCGGAGCCAGAGGAGGGGCGGGGGGCATGGAGTGCCAGCTCCTGGGCTGCGATTTTAACCTTGAACCTTTTGAACCTTGAACTCAAAGATCAACTCTTTGAGCCTTTGATTTGAGCTTTAACTCTTTGGATCTGCAACCTTTCACTTTCTAGGCAACTGTGAAATAGCCCCACAAACAATCAAACAACTAAACCTTTCGCGCTAAGGTTCCTTGTCCACGTTGGTCGGAATCGAAGCTGCCTGGTTTTGGGAGTCGCGTGTGGAGGTTGGGAACGTCCAGGGGAAGTACGTGCTGTTTTTTGTTGAGTGCAGCATGTGTGTGCAGACATGTACACAATTTGTGTATATCTACATTTACATACGCACCGGTGGTTTTTGCTGGCTCGATGCAATTATTGCTTTTGAGGAGAAATACAGCTCTGGTTGTTCCAGAAATATGTTTTTAGCTTGTTCCAGGATCCATTTTCAGAATCCATGTTGGACAATCTATAGTTGTTTGGTAGAAGTTGTTCATGTTCTTACACCCTTTTATTGTGGAGCTCATTCGTTTCTGTTTGCTATCGCTTGTTGCGCGAATTTTGAGCGCCAGGCCTTCCTCTCGAACGCCCAGGCTTTGGATGCCCAGGCGCGAGCAAGCTCGTCTCTATGGCCCGAGATATTGAAGTGCTTTTGGGCTTTGGTGAGAATTCGGCATTGTGTGTGTGCGCCTTTTTTTTGAGGGTAGAAACCCTTTTTGCTTGTTTCAAAGGGAAACAACATGGGGGTTGATATTCCTGGCCCCCAAATGACCATGGGATCGTGGGTAACTGTTCCCATGTGAGCGAGTATGTTTTCCTTTAGTTGCTGTCCCTTGGTCATCCCATTTCCTACGGACCTTTTGCTCATCCCCTATGTACAAATGTTTCTGTGGGAGTGGGTCCCTCAAAAAAACCACGCCCCAGCTCACTTCATCGAAAACCCCGCAGCGCGCCGACTCGCGGCTTTGCTGCCGTCGGCTCGCGCGCGAGGTGGTGTCGTTGGCCCTGCCGGCGCTGGTGGCGCTCTGTGCGGAGCCGGTGCTGTCCATCATCGACACGGGCTTCGTGGGACGCCTGGAGGATGCCCCGCTGAAGCTCGGGGGACTCGGCGCCTTCGGCTTCCGATGGGAGCTGGGTAGTGCTCCTGTCGTTTTTTTTTTGGGCATGGGACGCTCAAAGTGGCGAGCAAGCCGGAGTGCCTTTTGGTGAACCCCTTCGAAACCACCAAAAAAGGAGTGCCCTCAAAAAGAGACACGCCCGCTTGGTTGACTTTTGGGATGGTCTTGGATGAGATTTGTTTGAGTTGGAATGGGAATTGAGCTTTGGTTCAGGTGACACTTGGGCTTGACTTGTTTTGATTTGCTTTTTCGGTGGCGAGATCCGAGATCCAAGTGCGTCCCACCACCTCCCGGGAAGCCTTTTGCGGGCGACACAAAATCTCCATGTCCAAGGGTCCCCAAAGAATCAGACCCATTTGAATGCGTCGTTTTGGAGTTGGCACCCCTTTTGGTTTTATAAAGGGGAGACCAAGAGGAAACCACCAGTTTCATTGGCCCCCAAACACAAAAAGACACCCATTGGTGAAGAGCTAAGAAGGTGGTTTTTGGTCATTTTTATTTCCAGGTTGCCGCCGATTTCAAGCATGGGCCCAGAGCCAACCAGGCGGCTGGTGTTTGATTTCTAAAGAAGCGGCTCAATGCAGCTTTGTTCGCGGTGTTCGCCATTCTGTTCGCGTATGTTCGGGGGAAAAATATCAAAAAAAGCACACACACACACACACAAAACACACACACACACACACACATGACAAGTCAATGCGCCCTTTGCGAATCGGCTGTCCATTTTCCCTCGATGGTTGGAAAGAGGGCCATCCCACAGTGGACCCCAAGTGGCAAGCGACTTCCGCAGTTGTGTTGCACCAACCTCGGCGTTGTGTGCCCTGTGTTGACATGGAGTTTCCCAATTCCAGTAGGCTAGGCGGGAAGTGGACCGCAGCCAGGCAAGTTGGGAAAAGGCCCGGCAGGATTGCTTCACGCCTGACACCCCTTTTGCGATGATTGGTCTCTAGTCAAATGGCTAAGCAGCCAGAGGGGATTTTCGGTTGCACTTGGTTTGGCTTAAGTCCACCGGAAGTTTACAAGGAATCGAGGCTCGAGATCGCGACCAAATAACGGCACCCGAAAGAGACAGGTTTTTTCATGCGCCGTTGGATCCGAAGCGTTGAAAACATGCCCTGTAGGCCATGTTGGAGATTAGCGTGTCGAGGGTGCCTCAGGAGCACAGTGCGATTCAGCATCACATTTGTCCCATATGTCTGTACTCAAAGGTGGGTCTTGTTTTTTGGGGACCCCCTGTTGGTGGGTGCAAACCCCCTTTTTGGTTGTTACAAACCCACAGGTGTCCAATCCGCTTTTTTGGTGTTGAGAAGAAACCAATGTGAACACCATTTGAAGGTTCCCCTTTGAGAACCCGAAGACGCGCCGCCTGCTTACAGGATGAGCTCGGGGTTTGGCATTCCAGTCGGTTTCAATTCGGGTCAAGCGAGGTGCAGCCACTTCGGTCTTCGACTTTGTTTTCAGACTCCCAGCCGCAAGTGGAGTGAGTGGAAGCTCATAGGTGGCCTTAGGTTGGTTAGTAGATGGGGTCCGCTGCTTTAGATGGCATTTATGCCCCATGCAAGCCTGGCCCATCGAGATTTGGCCAAAACCTGCCCGAAGGGGCAATTCAATGTCTAGTAAGCCCCAAGGTGAAACTCAGCTCAAGGCTAGTGGGAAATGTCCGGATGCCTGCATGTCTATGCGTGTGTGTGTGTGTGTGCGCGTGTGTGCGCATGTGGTCAATTTAGTTTGCTTGCTTCCTCCTTTCCTCCACTGCAAGCACAGCAAGTTGGGGCGATTGATGGCGCACAATGTGCGCCTACATGCCGCTATGCTCAGACTATTTTGTTTAGTCTGCTACGAGATGAAGACGACGGGATGTAGAAAGAATGTGGCGAACCAATATCCAGACCAAATCATATGAGACACTTGAGGTGTGTTGGCTGTTCAAAGGCACTTCGAAGACACGGCGAAACCAACACAACTGACTTGTGGGTTGTGGGTGTCTAGCAGTGACAGGTTACCAAAGCCAGTGAAGAAGTCCGATTCCTTTCCACTGACGCCGTGGGGAACGAGCTTGTCGACAAGCTATGGGCCGTACTCAAAGCTTGAATATGGTAACTCAAGCCTTTATTGTTTGCATGGTAACTAAGAGTTTTGAAAAAAAAACAAAAACGCAGAGACATGTGAATTACAAGGGTGTGGCTGGTCATGCATGAGTGTTGCCCAACGTCATTCATATCGTCAGGCTGACTGTCCAACAGGCGCTCTGACTTTCCGACTGACTTCCCTGCTGGCTGCTTGTGGCTGTTTGAGTGGTTCGAAGTCTTGAAGGTCAAAGAGGAAACATACTGTAACCATTTATCCAATAGAGCTCCTGGGTAGTGGTTTGGGGGTAGTAGAAACCATCTGAGAGAATGATTTCAGGGTTCCTCAACACCATTGGCCATGTGACTTG